ATTTGCCAGTCGAGACAAAAAAATTGGCAGCGATGCGAGTCGGCAAAACAAACCCGGCTAAACAATAAGGAAAACACATGCGACTGACAACAATGACAGCGTCAACGGCCAACTAAAAACTTTTCCATCACAATACAACTGATATCCAAAACAACGAATTCATTCGAACCGTTTAATTTGACTTACGAAAGTGCTTAATTGTTTTTCAACAAAATCCCCCGACTTTTAGTCATCCAATAACGTTCGTTTACTACATTTGGGTAAATCTACACTTTTAGTTGTACAACTGTAATTAACTTAGTTCTATGCAGTTTTTCTGTCAGAAACATAAAAAATGTAGGCAACCAAACAAAATAACTTAAATCAAATCATTAGCAAATGCAGAGTTTTCACTTGGTTTTTCAAATCATGTCCATCAGCTTAAATTTGCTTTATTATACTTTGATTGGTTTATGAAACTAATGGTTTTTTTTAGAAAGTTAATTTGTATACGAGTTTTAAAAGTAATAAACGTAACAAAGACATTCCAAATATGTATTAGTCGCAAACACAATACATCAACTAATAAACTTGTATTAAACATGTTCCATTATACAACCCAAAGACCCTGTATGTTGACAAAGGGCTTCCTGTCTGTACCTTTTTATGATTAATTGCCGACCTCAAGTAACCGGTTTAGGTGCGCCTCAGAGAGATGATCTTCAGAGATTATCTCGAACAAGTTGGTGACTCACCAACCCATTGTTTAATTACTAACAAAACATTTTGTGAGCTTTAGTTGGATCGCAACATGCCAAGCGAATGGGGTGAGATAATTTGTTTTACCGAGAGAGTACATATAATATTTTTAAAAACTCACACCTGCCTGTGCCCGTTTTCCTTAGTTTTCCTGATCATCTGCCTGATCCCGATGGCCTCAGGGGGAACTACAGCGCCATCGCTAAGCGCCAGTCCCATAGTCTTTGCCCGGAATCTTTTTCGGGCCCTAAACGATGAAGAAACCCCAGTGAACATGATGGTTTCCCCGGCTGCTGCCCGCAGTGCCATGACCTTGGTTTTTATGGGGGCCGGAGGGAAAAGCGCGGAGGAACTGCGCTCCCAATTGATCCTGGGAGTGGCCAATAAGTCGGAAATCGCCAAACAACATGCGGAATCCTGGAGTGAGGAGTGTTCTTGTGCGAAAAAAGGAGTTGCCCTGCGATTGGTTACCCGTTTGTATGTCAATGAAGAGGAGAAAATACGGCCGGAGTTTAATACCCAGGCCATGGAGTTCTTTAACGCCCAGGTTGATCCTCTAAATTACTTAAACCCCGAAGATTCGATTAAAAAAGTAAACAAATGGATGGAAAAGCAAACGTTTTACACTGTGAGGAATCTGTTCACCCCAGACGTTTTCAGTCCTGAGTCCAGTGTTATCCTGGTGAACTCCCTGTTCCTTCGAGCTAAATGGGATAAAGTATTTCCCCTGGAACTTACGGAGGTCCAAGACTTTTGGATCAATCTCCGCCAACGGATGGAACTGCCCATGATGCGACAGATCGGCCAGTTCCGCTATGGCGAGTCCAAGAAACTTAAATCACAGATCCTGCAGCTACCCTTTGAGAAGTCCAACTTGACCATGATGATTATTCTGCCCAGAGATATCGATGGATTGGCAAAATTGGAGGAAAAACTAGGGCAGCTGGATATGAACGAGGTGGCAGCCAAAAGTCTGATGAATTCAGTGGATGTGACGATTCCAAAATTCAAGATCGAGTGTGATATTGATTTGAAAGTGCCACTACAAAAGGTAAGAAAAGGGTTTCTTTAAGGCTGTATATAATTCATTAATCTAATTTGTATGTTAGCTGGGAATCAATCGTGTTTTTGAACCTGGCCAAGCTGATCTGAGTGGCCTTTTTGCCAAGAAAACACCTCAAAGAATTTCCGAAGCCAGACACAAACTTTTTCTAAACGTAACCGAAACAGGTTGTGAAACAGCTCCAGAAATTACGAAGGGTAAGAAACTATTATTTCTTACATTTTTCATTAATTTACCTTTATATTAATTACATTTTTAGACGACCAACCTGTAGTAATAAAGGAGAATCCCGATCGCAAGGTCTTCAAGGCCGACCGTCCATTCGTTTTTGCCATTCGCAACAAGAAAAACGTTTACTTCGTGGGCCATTTCATTAGGCCCTAATTGCGAGTGGAGTGTTGCAAATATTTTGATGGTGATGGCCCGCAGGCAATCACGGCAAAATGGCAGCATCCCAATGAACATCAAATTATTGCCAAACAAATGTACACAATGCATTGGAATACAAAAACAGCAGGCACAGGCAAACATTTGTGCGGTGGAGAGATTTTGGGGTGCCAAATAAATGGCAACATGGCTGCCGGGACAGATCATTGCGAAAATTTGCAGATAGGAGTGGGAAGAAAAAAGGGGGGTGGATGGGAAGGAAATGGGAAAATGGGAAAAGGCAACAAAGAAACGGCGGCTGGCCAAAACCAAATGAAAAGTAACTTGGATAAAATAACCAACAGACCAAAGGTTTAAATACCCTTTACAATTTTTAATCAAAAGTGGGGCACATTATGTTAGGGGATTTTGGTAAAAATTATTTAGATTGCAGTATGTAAGTTATATTTTTTATATAAACATTATTTTTGGGAGTGCTTTAAGGATAAGTATTGTCAAGTTACATTATCAAACCCATGAATCTAATACTTATTTTATGGTCAAATATTTTTTGAAACTCAAATCTAAGCAAACTTTGCACTTGAAGTTAAATTTTTAAAAAACGTTTCTTCTTATAAGCCGAAGTCTAATTATCAGTTCCCTAATAATTCCATTGAGTAAATACAAACAGGGAAATTAAAATAAGCTGCCTTTTAAAAGCAATCCCGGCTTAAAGCGGCCACAAAGGACATAAAAGGACAGCAAAAATATGCTTACCCCCCGTGAGAGTAGAGAAAAGCGGCTGCAAACGAGCATCGCCGGCATTCTTTTGCCCGGCCAGGGAAGCCAACTTGTTAGCCAATTTTAAATACAACTGCTGCCACTGACAGTAATCAAGATTGCACGGCAATGCCGGCGCGGCTACAACAATGCCAAATGCCATTCCGGCCAGCAAGGGCCAACAATTGAAAAATAAGTAATTTCTCAACTGTAGTGAACTTCGCAGAAGAATCGGAGGAGTGGCTGGAGTTGGAGCATCGGGAGGAACAGCAGCTGAAACAAGCCAAAGTCCGAGCTGGAATCGGAATAGAACTCGGAATCGGAATAGGAATCGCAGGAGATGGAGTCGCTCGTCCGGTTGGAGAACGAAAACTTTGCCCGTCCAATTCATCGATGATTGTCGTGCAACGCGATTCTGGTTTTCATTCTGACTCTGACTCTGATTCTGATTCTGATGCTGGCACCGTCGTCTGCCATCGATGGCCATTCCGGCAGCCGGTGTGGCACAAATGTTTATCTTTCCCCCGATTCCTGCCCCAACGGAGATGGAGCTATATAGATGGCTCTTCCGTCATCGCAGCGGAAGTGCAGCTGCGCAAACTTTAGAAACAGCCCTGGGGGAAGTACCAGTATCGAGCTGTTTTCGGCCTTGTCATCTGTGTCAAATGCTAATGCAAAATGTCACCGTAATCAAATTACCCAAAAACTGGGCACTACGTAATGAATTCGATTGCTGGGCTTTAGGTTCTGGGCGCCATGAATAATTACATATATATAAATATGGAATTTCATATCGCAAATACTTCGGCACTGCCTACATATATAATCCAATTAATTTAATTGCTTTGCATACGCTCGTGTTTGATCCACTTGAAATGCCAATATCTAATGGCCACAATTCTGCAGTTGCATAATCTATGGCAAAAAATTGACCTCGCTTTTTCAGTGCATAATTAATTTCAGTATGAATATTATTGGGTATGGCCACAGTCCTTTGAAATATGGTCGAATGTGGAGCTAGGAACGATTTCGAAATGTAATTTAAAACCAATTAAACGCATTCACATGCAACATCGAGCGGCAAATGCCGGCGGTCACAAAATGCATCGAGCATCTTTGTTGACCCCGGCCAAGAGATTGTTTACAGGGTGGGGGGGGTTTGGTGCACTGGTGCATTCATATCGTCGGAACGCACACTAAATTCGATATAGGTGGAGGCAATTGCCTCACAATGGGGCAAGCAATCGATTTAATAGCTGCAACAATGGGGGTAACAGGATCTGCGTTATGAAACAATCACTTGGCCATGCGCAGAATTAGGTTAACTAAAGTTGGGCAACCAGACAATGGGGTCTTTGTCTTCTGGTGCTCCAATTTTGAAGGAAATTAATAAGCTACTAATAAGCTTAGTAGGGGAAGAAGGTTTGAGTGTCCCAAAATGATAACCATAATTATAGTTAACTAAATTCAGCATGCAGAGAGAAACAACACTTTCCTTATAAATAGATACTAATATCTAAGACTGTATGGAAAATAAATAAGAATGATTTTTTAAATATTTAGATCGTCTGACAGTAACCTAATGCACTTTACATTTAATGGTATCAGCATAAACAGATTAAGATACTATATTCAACATTCCTCCTCAAGTTTCTTTTGGATATGTATAGAATATTCAGATATTACATACATTTTTAAAATTTATCTAATAGGTTCTAATTATCTGAGCAGATTTGTATTGCTTTTTATAAATAACTTATAAATTGTTATCTTGAAATTCAATTTATTGTAGTTTTATACATATTTTAACCAATTTTTGTTGGCCATTTGGAATGAACCTAATTTAATTGATCGATATATAATTATTATTTTCGATACCTATATTCATTTTATCTCACATTTCAAAGTCACCATTTGCCATTGACTGTGGCAAAGTTAATCAACTAACTGCTCAGCCAGCCACGCCCCCCAGGCCGCCTTCGCACTGCAATGGAGCGCATCTCCTGAGGGGCGAAAACTAACTTATTTATGGGTATCCCCGACTTTGACTTACGTGCCTGCCATTCGAATGAAGTTTTACGTCTTGCGAATCATATTCATATGAGCTGTGTCCTGTAGGTTCGTGTGGGTATTGCCATTCCCCAGGACCCGAGTCCTGCTGCCCGTGCTCCGCCTCTAGAGTCCCGGATCCTGAGTGTCTATTGCCGACCGGGCCACATGCTGCAGGAAATTACATTTCAATTTTAAAACGACTCTCATTGCCAGCTTCCGTTACAGTTGCTCACCTCCATTTGCCCATCGCGGCAGGTGGCCGTGTGGCAAGTGTGGCAGGTGCGGCAGGTGTGGCAGGCGTGGCATTTCGGGCTCGGGGTTCGGGGTTCGGGCCAGGTGAATCGAGACGGCAGGTGAGTGAGCGGCGGCACACAAAATGGCCTGCCATGAGCGGCACTTATCGCTCGACTGCAGCTTAAGCGCCGGTTAATCCATCACAAAAGTGCATGCATTCCTCTGCCCAGCCCCCCAATTTCCCCACTCCACAGCCCAACAATTTCCATGTGCTGCGGGGCGTGCAAAGTGCTGCCGTTGCTGATAATAAGCCGTCATCCAGGCAAAACTCCTGATGAGCTGAAACTGAGGCCCGAACTGGCGGTGCACCGGGAGAAAAAATACTATCGAAGATCCCTTTAAGGAGCAACATATATATCAGTCATCGCAAAATGATCATAAGCCCCTGCATTTAAAGTTTTCGAAAGTATTTGTAGTATCTAACGATTATTCTAGTGAGTAATCTTCTAATTTAAAAAAAGTACCTATACAAAATCAGTTATTTTATTATCTCAAAAATCTTATTAGTAAAAACAGATGTGAGCTACAAACAACGTATAACATTGTCAATCAGTGAGACAATTGTCATTTTTACTGATTACCATTAACATCCGGAAACTATCACATAACTCTGCATTGCTACGATTGCTGGTAAGAGCATATATCCATGTTGTACATTGACAAGTAAGACCAATTAAGATTATAATCGGCAATTATAAGTTTTTTAATTAATACTTTAAATACTCTCATCAGATCGGCCAATGTGTGCCTAATAAATATTTCATAATTTCATAGTCTTCGAAAATTGTAAATTAAAATTGATAAATATGGATTATAGAATTAAAATAAATATTTTCGGATATTTTATTGTATGTTAGAACGATTACACAGGTACACAGCCAAAATTTTCCATGAACCATTACTACTTTTCCATGATAATTGGATCCTTCTGAGTAAAAGCCCCATACAAACTTGTGTTCCATCCGCGGAATAACTAAGAACACAAAATAACCGACGTTTGCCCACTTATTGAATATTCTTTTGTTCCTGTGTTATGTTTACCTAACCAGTAATTAAGCATATAAAAATATATATTAAATTAATTTCATATTATTTCTTTCTCTGTAAACCTTCATAGTTGGACACGGCACACGGCTTTTCATTGCGGTTACGCATACGCCGCGTTGCCCCGCTGGCAGACGTGCGTGCCATAAATAGCGGATGGAAAATGCGGTTGGGCTGCGAAATGGTAATGGAATGGGCAGGGCTCATCCATTCCACTTGCAGCGAATTGCAAGTCAACGCCAAGTGTCTTAAGTATGCAAAAAGAAAATCTGCAGAGTGCGCGGGCGGCGAACTGAACGCTGAACTCTTAACTCAAGTCTGGACAGGTGATTTAAAAGCCATTTGTCAGCCGAGCGGGGAGCGGGATGAGCTGCTCCGGGTGATTGGCTTGGGTCAGTGAAATTATTCAAATTATCCCTGGGAAGATTTCGCTGTCAGGACGCCGGCAGACGACTGCAGTTGTTGTTGTTCGGGGGCGGCAATCAAATGGCCTTAGTGGCATTCTTTTATCGCCCATCCGCATCCGCGTCTGCACTCCACGCAATCCTCCAGTTGACAGCCAACAGCCAGGAGAAAGGAGCCAGGATCCACAAAGGCATGGGCCAAAGTCCATGGGCCCCATTTGTTGTCGCTGATGGCAACCGACTGGATATCCCATCTATTATAAGTGCTTACCACTCGCCGACGAGCATTGACATTTGGCTAATGGCGAAAATGTCACCGAAATGCAGACCCAGACAGGCAAATAAACAGCTCTTCAAGAGGGGGCGTGGTTTGGCTTAAAGAGGGCTCCGAAATATCAAGGGAAAACGGAAATCATAATGCTGCAACCTTGACCCATCTGATATTTCAATCAACTTACCCATAATTTCGCTTTTTCAGTCCATCAATCATTTTTCACGCATCAATTAAGGAAATAATGATGCCCCACGCCTGTCAGGTGTCCAAGTATGCATTACAGTTGGTCCAGATAAATCCAGCTTACATAATTGTCTTCCTTCTGTAAGTTACATAATGAAAATTTCAGGTAAATCTCCAGTTTAATAGAATTTTAACTAAAGCTTTGGACTACGTTGAAGCTTTCCATTTTGTATTTGAAGTACATCCTACTAGTCTATATATATATATATCTATCACATTTTGTATTTTAAGAATATCTACCAGTACTATATCTTTTAAGCTGAGAAGAACTTAGAACTAATTTTATATTCATAATTAACATTTGAAGATTCTTATCTTGAATTTTTAATATCAGTTTCTTACTCTGTAATTTAAAATTAACCATGATTGGCACTGCGTGGATTCAACTATTTATCAAATCTTATCAAAAACCAGAGGGGGCCGCATTTCTTAAACACAGTCCCGCACATAATTCATTTAGCAGCGGGAAGTTGTGGTTGTGAGTGGAGCAAATCAAAAGCAATCATAAATCAAATCATTTGATTCATTGATTACATAACACATGCAATCCTGTGCGTTTGTGTGTGTGGCAGCTGTCTTAACGCGCCTATTTAATCAACCCAAACCCATGGCCCTTTTCCACAGGCATAACATAACCCACCCGACCCCAAATGCCATATGAGAGGACCCCACCGAGTCAAGGAGCCCGAGACTATTGATTAATAACAACGCCCAGCAGGGGGTGGCGAAAGAAAATTGCCTGCCTGGATTTGCTAATGGGCCAAAGGCCCCTCCCTCGGATTTTCCCCTGCGATGATTGGAGGCCCTCAACTTAAAGCTGTTACAAAAATATGGCAACAATTAAAACTGCTGTGGCCCATTGTCTGAGCACACACAAAAGCAATTAACTGTCCGATTTGATAACAATGACAAATATAAATATACGTGTGTGCACTGTAAAAAAATAGGTACAAACTCTAGAAAATGTGTGATGTTTTAAAGGAAATGCACACTTCGAAATTGTCAACGTCTTATTATTGCTTTAAGTACAACTTTAAACAACTTTAAATAAACAATATTTTAAATTATTTAATTGTATTTTACTATACAAAAGAATATATTAAACTAAAATTTATGTTAAGCTAAAAGTACTCTACATTTCTTTATGTTGTTCAGTTTAAAAACCTGTTTTAGATTAACACAATACATAAATAAACAAAATTTTAAATTGGTGAACTTTACTTTACTATACAAAACAATATATTAATCTAAAACTTATATTAAATTAGAGTAGCACTTAAACTCCAAGTTTCCTTACGATATTTAGGTTAAAAACCTGATTTTAGTTTAACATGAGAATGAGAATGCGGTCCTAAAGATTTGTATAAACTATACAAAATCATATCCCTCGGAACCTATTAAAGTATTTTAGTTTTTTAAGTTTTTTTCCCAGTGTCTGTATGCTTTGGCCGTAATTGAAAAGGACTCGATGCAGTCAGGGTCTGGTAAATGACTAAAAACATACAGAATATACAAAATACAAGGAGCGGGCGAGGGCGAGACGAAGGTGGCACGTCCGGGTCGCAAATGTTATGACAAGTGATGTCGCCTCTTGTTTGCTTTGCCAGCATGCTGGCAAATTCTCAAAATTGTTTTTTCATTACACACTGGCTGGGGCGAGGAAAAATCGGTGCGACCGAGGAGAAGTCAGACTTTTTGGCCTGAACCAACTGCAGTTAGCTGCACTTTTGCCACCCGGAGACAATAACTCATTAACATAACATTTGAAAGTCACTAGCTGGCTTTCAAGCTGCAACACATGCGCCAACATTTCACGCTGTCAATCAGCGAGCAAGTTTCGGCGACAACTGAGCACAAAACATTTTGACATTTGGCAAGTGTCAGCGACCCAGATGATGAATGCGCCCCAGATCCAGACAACTTGGGGGCTTCATCCTCGAAAAACGACCCTACAAAACGCACCTTTTTGCATCCGGCCATTAAACAGACGAAACTCTAAAACAACAGACAAATGACCACAGAATGTATTTTATTTTCCCATACACTATGCAGAGAGTTAGAATGCTTTAAGGAGTTTTGGAATTTAATCAAACATGTATAAAATGCTATTAATTCATATATGTTATGTAAACTGGACATGCTGATTTGATTCAGTATTCTTTTTCATTTTCTCTAAGTCCTCTTCTCTTTCATGCGCTGCAAATTAATCCCATTCGAAAATCATAACAGATTCTACCAATAGAAAGAGAAGTGCACAGGAAAAGGTAGACCGTTTACTAACTGAAGTTTTTCGTAGTAATACACTTTTTTGTAATTCTAAAATATATAATTGTAATAAATTTTCTTATGTTCAAAAGGAAATTATGTTTCGAATTTAAAGAACCTCCATATAAAGTAATATTTTTACAGAAACTCTTAAAGATCCCCTCAGAAATTAAAATCTTACAACATTTATGCATTTTTATTGTATATTTCGCAGAGTATTTCAGTAGTCATTCCGAATACCATAAAGTTCCCAGTCGCTTTTTGTTTTATGTCTCTAAGCACTCGCGGCGAAGATGAACGACAACAAAAACAATGACCAAGAATAATTGCATGAAATAAAAAGCGGATTTGCATTTTAGATTCCCAACGTCCACCTTTTGCAATACTGTTGATTTTTGTGTTGTCATTAGAGTTGGGGTGGTACAACGAGCAGGAAAATATCTCAGCTTGTCCGCTGACAGTCGAGCTGGGGGACCAAAAGTGGAAACTGCTTGGTCTTACCGATAAGAAATGCAGCCACCGAGGGAAAAGCGGGAGAAAGCCACTCTGAGTAAATGTCACACAAAACTAATACTGAGGACCATTTTTTATGACAGCCTGTGTCCAGACCCCATAAACCTGTGAAGGGAAGATAGAAACAAAAAAGATACACAGATAAAATAATTTGTAAAAAAGGTACTAAAGTGGAACAGTGTGAACATGATATAATAAATGGTACTTCGATTTTCTAAGTAGTCTTTAAATATGATATGGACTGGAAATATCAACATAATTTAAAAATTAAATTAATAAAAA